TAGAATCCTTGGATTCTGAAGTGAATATCCCTCATCCCTTCCCAACCACGCTCTTGGAGTCCTCAAGAAGGCTTTTTCCCAACTGCCCTCTGTTAAACACTCTCCAAGCCCCTCCTGATTCCAGAACTTTACCCTTACATCCTTCCTAACTGCACCCTGGAACCTTGCCCCTGTAAACTCTCCCAATTGTACCCCAAATTCCCAATTTTACCCCCTTGAACCCTTTAACTGTTTATGCCCCCCAATTTTTTTTCTTTTAATTCTGATTCCGTGCATGCCAGAAGAGCCCGCCAGGTGAAGTGCTATGTCACTGTTCCGATGATACATTTCTGACATCCTGTGTACCCAGCAGTTTCTTCTGTCCAGGGCAAACATACATTTTGTAACTTGACTGGGGTTGACCAAACTTGCCCCAGTTTGATCTTATCCTCACACTTAAAGGCACTGCATGAGTGCACAGGAAAAAACAGGAAAGAACAAGAGGAAAAGATTTCTTATTATCTCATCAGTCGAAAGAAAACTGATTGAAAAGGGGTTGTATCAAGATGTGAAAGGTAGAAATTAGTTTTGCCAATAAGATAAGAATTGGAATGTAAATATACGGTTATGCAGTAACACAAGTAGTAACTTTTAGTTGTTTTAAGGAGTGTGAAAGGAACAATGTTGACATTGATTGATCTTTAAATGCTATTTGATTAAAAGGGTTCCACTTCTGATCATTAGCAGTCAAAACAGATGTGCCCCGGAGGGTCATTAAGGCACGTGTCTAGCGGCAAACCTAGATAGAAACATTTTGTGAATGTGCACTGCGATGTCTGATGACAGGTGTGCAGCAATAAGTCTGGGTAGGAAAGCAGGCATCGCGATCCATCCAGCCTCGATCCATCACAGAGGAAGACACAACAGGATATACGGTACCTCCAATTGATCTAGAATTCAAAAACATCGCAACTGACTGCGCACTGCCACCTAGGTTTATCGGCACCTCATCGCAGAGTTCTCCGTCCCTGATGCCTGGACTCAAACAGCTCCCATTCACCAATGCTCGGAGGCATTAGTCAGTGAACACAAACAAGGTGTCTGCTGTTTTCACACTTAGAAAAAATACCACCTTCTAAAAAATATCTGAACAAAGGGGAACACTGTCCCTGACGCAGGGATCATTTAAAGAGCTGCTGGTACAAAAATGAGCACTTGAAAAACTCTGGTATCTAATGGGGGTTAGCATGAATGGCGAGAGTGAATGACTGTGAGTTTACATCAGCATCCCTAACAGGCATGAAAACATGGCTTGGGAAATGCTCAAGTGGCAAATTGGAGTTTCCTTGAAGTTGTCAATGTCTAATATCAGAGAAAACACTTCATTTCCTACTGAACTTTGGCAATGTGATGATCAATGCTTAGGGGGGTTGTGCATGAATTAACTGAAAGCCACATGTACATCGTACATGTAACTCCAAGATAAGGAAAACTCGGGAAACTCAAAATGTTTCAGTTTACGAGGCACGTGCATTTAACATACATGAACATGTACATGTACATGCCCATTTCAAAGACACCATTATTACTTGAGTCACTAACTATCGACAAGTAACAACTGACCAAATAATGAATTTTCAGGTTGACTAACAGAAAAATATGGAATTGATGGCTTACAGATGCATGTCTGATTGATTGGTCCGATAAATTACTTATAACTTGGTTGAATAATTGGTGCATGGATGCAATACAGAAACCAACTGACTGACCAAACAATCAATCAACTAAACAACCAACCTACCCACCCATGAGCTGACATTCCAGGCAACCCAAAAGTTTACCCACTGACCAACCGGCTGACAGACTGTCAGAGGAGCTGATTCACTGGCAGGTCATCTGCTTTCAGTAGACTGAAAATCAGCATGAAACGACTGAACTAGTACTTATCCCAGGCCATTCTTTTTGATGGGGACGGGGGCATCTCTGAAGGTGCATGGTCAATCGATGTTGTCTTACTCCAACGTCTCTCCTGGTAATTACAACACTAAGAGATGTGGAGTTGATCCCCAACCAGGTAGGATCACAGATTTGCATGGCCCTCAAGCAACATACTTCATTAACCGTGTTCCCCTGGATCAATCCAGGGCTCTATTCCGAGATAGAAGCTTAATGCAAGCTGGTAGAATCTGGCGCCACCAGTGTGCTTAGCAAAGATTTCTTTACCACCACATCACACTAATGATGCATGTCCGATGCAAATTATTATGCATTCCACGACTGTCGGATTTTTTCAGCGATGTCGACTTTAAATTCAAGAGGACAAGATGTGGCGGTGCACAGAGATTTCTGCCAGCAGACAAGATATCCAGATGGAATGTCAAAGTGGCGACTTTGATTGGAAGTGGGCTATAACTGTGATTAGTACTGCCCTGTAATCTGGCAGATCTTAGTGCCATCGGTACCCCCTCCCCTTCCCAATGGCACCCGGAAATGAGAACCTGGAAGAGCGGTCATATACCACTACACAGCTAGGGTTGACAAACGAGCTTTGCGCCTGAAAATTGGAGCTTAGGGGTGCACTGCAGTCTTCACAGGACTCGGATCAATCAAGGAAGGCTGTATCTGGATTGGGTACTGCCTCGTGCATATCGCTGGAAGAAATCTGACTGGCAGAAGGGAAGGGGGCCATGTTACCTTAAGTCCAACCCTACATGCAGAGGGGTGTATAAATTGACTAGACAGCAGAAGCAGCTACCTGTAATTGGGCTACTGGGGGCTGCTGCATGTATCTAGAGTACTGTAATGAACTGTAGACACAAACCAAACAAATTGGAGAATGGATTTACCACATGTACTCCTGCCAAGTTTCTGGCAGGCATTGAATGAAATGATTCATTAGAATGATCTCACATTCCTTTGGTTGACATTGACAATGAAGATTGAGTAATGGACACAAGCCGGGGGATATAAGCTGAG